GGGGGGTCGTAGGGATCTCAGAATGGGAGACTTGGAACGTCCTCACGACGTTCCACGTACCTTACCTCGCTCACCCTAAAGCCCTTCCCCCCAACTAGACGCTCCAGCTGCGTCCTTTCTCAGGGCTCCACATAGCATCTGAGGCTCCACACGGAATCACCTGACCGCATATCTTGGGCAGGTTACTTCAGTGAGACTTGCGTGTCCTCGGCTGTCCAAGGCGCCAGGCTAAACCACTCCCCAGGTGCCTTAAGATTCTAAAGTGGGAAGATCTTGTCAAGTCACCACGAAAGATTAAAAGCGACTGTAAATCCGTCCCAGGCTGTAAAGCCCTAAGTACTCTCCCCAAACCCAGCTCAAACGTCACTGCCTCCCTTTTCGGGGCTCCCGGGCATTTTGTTCAAATCTCCAGTGTCCACGTTAGACCCTGCGCCCCCAAGAGGCTGGGCCCTCGCTTGACCGTCGCGAGAGCCTACCCTCTCCGCAGCCTTCGAGGGCTGAGGGTTGAGGGCTCAGGGCTCAGGGCTCAGGGCTCAGGGCTCAGGGCTGAGGGCTGCGGGCTGCAGCAGGGACTGAAGGAAACCATGTTCCCAAGGCGCTAGCGCCCAGTGCCCGGCAGAACGAAGGAGCTCCAGAGACCCCGGTTACTGCCAGTATTCCCCGAATGCCATCCCTTCTTGAGCTTGGGTTTCCTCAAGGGTAATATGAGGCCGGACAGACAATGCCCAGAGCCCCCAGGGGCGGGGTGGCCTCCGGCCCTGAGGAGCGCACAGCGTGGGAGCCAGAGCAGCCGCGGAAAACTGGAGGCCCTGAGAGTCCCGAATGCAGCCCGGCGCCCAGGTCCGTCCTCTCACCTCCCGGGCTCAGCAGCAGCTTCAACGCCTCCAAAATCGGCTCCAGACCGCACGTTTGCAGAGCCCCGCTGCCCGCGGCCTGCCTGGGGACCGCCATGGCTGGAGTGGCACGTACCCTTGCGACCAGCTCAGGCGCCTTGGCGGACGCGGGTCGCCGCCATGTTGAGTGTGGCGAGAGCCGCATGGG